TAGCATTACAGTAAACATTAATCCACAAACTAGCATTACAGTAAACTCTAATCCACAAACTAGCATTACAGTAAACACTAATCCACAAACTAGCATTATAGTAACCACTAATCCACAAACTAGCATTACAATATACACTAATCCACAAAGTAGCCTTATAGTAAACAATAATCCACAACCTAGGCTTATAGTAAACACTAATCCACAAACTAGCTTTATAGCAAACAACCCGAGAGTGTTTAAAAAAACTATTGACTCATAGTGTGTGTGCATGTGTGTGTGTGTGTTTATGAGTGGGCTGAGTATGAGTGTGTTTATGAGTGGGCATTAGTCCAGACAGTGGAGCTGCAAATTAAAATATTATTTCAACTCAGTGTCTCATTGTTCAGGCCTCCGAGGTCGTGAGGTAAAGCATCTCTCTCCAGGGCCACTTCAGAAACAGAAGTGTGTGTGTGTGTGTGTGTGTGTGTGTATGTGTGCAAAAATCCTGTGGCTGAATTCAGGAAAGAATCAGGGTTTGGCCAAAATTGAGGTTTCCTGCCAATTGTACACTTTGATATCCCTACTTTAAGAAAGCACAAATATATTTTACCAAATAAAATTTTTTATTTGTTTTCTGACCTTGCCTTGGCATCTGCCTGCAAAGCTCATGCTGGGTAAAGAGTCAGTTTAACAAAGACAGCGCTAAAAACAAACAGTCTGGCTAAAGATGCCTAAAATGTTGCCAGCTAAGTGTAATTTTCTCACAATTTAATCAGATTTTTGGGAGTAATTGCAAACGGACATAAGTGTAATCAATTCACTTTGCAAATAAAAATGTCTGCCATGCTCCTATGCCATCACATCTTAAAAACAGAGAAGCGCACACACTTACTCTGTACAGAAATGTTTAAATTGATCCAGCAGTATAGAAGTAAGTGAATGAATCAGCGATTATTTTACCACGATGTTAGCTTGAACAGAGATCATAGGTGTGAAGAGACAATGTGGCTCGTGTTTAAACGCCACGAGTGACTTTTACCTCCAGTGAGACAGAGACTCATGCGGATGAAGCTGATAATCAAAGTGAGAACTCATTTCCTGTGGTAAACATATAATTCTTTACAATTTGTCGGTAATGTCGTTTTAGTAGATATGCTTATAAATGTAGAGGTAATTGTGGCATCTTTCAGTTGGATTGGGTGAAATCTTCAAATGTTATTATTTCCTTTTCCACTTTAACCTGACTTTTAAATGCTACTTTTTTAAAATTTATTTCTGATTGAGATAGAAAAAAGTAAAAGATTTCAGTTTCATTTCATATTTCAGTTGTCAGAACTATATACTGTATAGTAGAAAATGTCAAGACGTAACCATGTGAAGAGTCCTATCAGCACATACAGACATGTATATGAGTTATTCAGCAATGGGCTGAACCGCTGGAATTTCTGTGCAGCTCCGAGGAAAAAAATCAATTCTGTTCGATGAAAACTAAAAATAAACATGGCAGACAGGCCTGTTGCTCTGACTAAGGAATAGTTTTTACTAATTTGTACTATAACTAATGTGCATATATTAAAAGGTTTGTTGTATTTTCAGCGTGTGTGTGTGTGTGTGTGTGTGTGCGCATGTGTGTGTGTAGTTTATATTATTTATGAATCCTTTCATTACAATCACAATATCGCTCCCTCTTCGTTTCTGTTTTCTTCATAATAACAGACGAGTGTGGAAGTGTCTTGCTCCAGCAGGATGTCTGAAGGACCCTGAATGTCCTTGAGGAGCTCTTGAGTTATTATTACTGCAGAAATTATTTCTCTGAGTACTTTATGATGGAAAACCAGGCTGAGCTCCTTTCAGAGAAGAAATTCAGTTTGAATGAATTCATTCTCAGACGAACACGCTGACTGAGGTGAGATGCTCATGATTCAAAGAAGGAAAAAAAAGGAGCTGAGTTATTAAACTGAAGGATTTCCTGAGCAGGTCTTCATATTGGAGAAAAAAAATTGGGCCGGTAGCTTTAAAATCACACGGTGAGACACAAGTTCCTAAAATCCTTGGTTTAAAGATCATAAATAATAAATCAGAAAAGTTTTGCTTTACAAACTCTCCATCTTTAGGAGATGCTTTATAAAGTTTAAATCTTCGGTTTCATTAAGAATAATTTATTATTTACTGCACATAGAATAAAACTTTATGGATATATTAAAGCACAAAATGTCCACATAATGTCCTCTTTTCCCCAAATGTACTGTAAATGTTCAGTGTGTGAAGTTTTATTTTTTAAATTTTGTACTGCAGGCTAATGTAGCTAACAGGTAATAAGGTAAGTAATGGCCTCCATTTTATAAATATTGTTTCTCTCTGTTACATCATTTGCAACATGGATAATTTCATAAAATAGCAGAATAGCTCTGTATTATTTAAGAAATAATACACTCCATGTGTTGCTGGTATAGAACAATGATTAATAAGAGGGTAGTGTGATGAAGTGGAGTTACTGTTCCCACCCTGTGGATTATTGTCCTATAACAGCATGTCCAAGTATATTTTATTTCTCTTACACACAACAATTACAATTTTTTTATTAATGAAAAATGATACATTATGGAGATTTATGTGATGGAAAAGATAACGCACAGTTTAAGTCTTCAGATGAATCAGTTTATGGAGAAATGAACACCCTTAATGGAGGGACTGGGTGAGGACTGGGAGTAATGGCTTCTGGTATGTAAGTTCTATTTTCTGTACTTTATCTGGCTTTAAATAGAGAGACTGGTTATTACTTAAATATTCCTTTTTGTATTAATTTGTCTCATTTTGTGTCTCAAGATCCAATGTTGTTGTTCTTTATATATTGTTCTCTCTTTTTTTGTTTTTAGTTCTTCTTTGTTGAAGAAAATAATACTTCTCTTGTGAACATATAAGTAAAACAAAATGTTATGTACCTCATGTGAACAATGTACATGCTTTATAAGATGAGTTGAAAAAAACGACATATTATATTTGAATTCATTTATTGTTACACTAAATGTCATGGGAACAAGTTAGTTCCTGTTCTCACTTACGTTATAGCAGCTATAAACAGTGGTTTTCACACCAGCTTCTCTTTTCTCTCTCTTGAAGTAAGAAGGCAAATAAATGCAGTTTGTTCTGTTACCGAGAAACCACAAAGTGTAAACTCCTCTTTTCTAAAGATGTCGGAAAATGTAAAGTTATGTGTCTACCTCTGACACTGGAGACTCTATTATAATGTGAAATAAATGTCTCCTTACAAAAAACTTCACGATATCAACGTTTACACACATTTTTAAATCAGCTTATGTGGATCGTCCATAGTGCAAGCACCTGTGAATGAGCTGTTACTATAGAAAAGATAATGTATTAGAAAGAAAGCATTAATATAATTAAAATTAATCAACACCTTCTGAACAATTGAGAATTTAGCAATACCGTGATATGAAAATAACTATACAAATGAACTTATCATCATCGGAATCACTTCTAACATACAATTTCTGCCTTCAGACTTTAGACCATGCCCCCTTCCTTAGTGCCACCAAACTGTGTGCTGAGGAAAAAAGTGATTCAAAATGGAGGTACAACTGTTATTAAAAGTTCTGCTGAGCTTATTGCTCACTTTGTGATCGCAAGCTGGCAAAGGCAATGAGATTTGCTCAGTTTACTCCGATCCATTATTTATGTTTAATAATATTTATTTTACTTTCCACTTCCCATCAATTAACGTTTTGTCACCTCGCAAGTTCAGAAAGTAGGGCTGAACTTCGCACTCGCTTGGCATTCTCACAGCAGTAATCACAAATACACAATGTCACATTTTTTCATTGTGCTCCCTTGGCGGCGGGAGGACGAGGCGACGTGGAGCGAAAGGTCACCACGATTCAGCAACAAATGCATCTGAACACGTGCTGAATGCAAGGCTGTAAATTGCATTACACTTGTAGTGGAGAAAAGATTCAGGTTAATTTGGTAAACACAGGGTCGGGCCTTCTACAACACGGTTATAGAAGTATGAAGAGATGTGGAAATGAGGAGAAATTCTGAACGAGAGAGAGAGAGAGAGAGAGAGAGAGAGAGAGAGAGAGAGAGAGGAGGAGAAAATGCTGACTCTGTGGGCTCGGGCCTGCCTCGGCTAAATCCAGTCTGGAGATATGACGACTTTCTAATTTGCTTTCCCTCCTATTTTAATAATAGCTGTGCATAAGTAATTTGTGAAAGGCCAACCCAGCGCCGGGCACGAGGAAAATTAAACTCATTTTATCTGTAGGCTGGTAGGTGGATTTCTATTTATCATTAGCATGCATAGAATTTACCCGGCGTTATTCCTCATAGTGATGGAATGTAACCAAATAATGTATGAAGGCTTTTTTTTTTTTGCTTATGCAGGAGTGAAATTCGCAGATAAAAGTACCGGGCCTTTGCAATTTTCTGCAAACGGAACCTAATTCGGAGAAGCTCCTTATTACAGCCCAGACTCATTTGCTTTGAATTAAAGGGTGACATAAGTGACATTAGGATTTCTCCCAGATCTGATGAGATGAATTCAGTTAAATCATTAGTTCCTCGTTTGCCATGGCACCTTTTTTTTTTTTTGAACCCTAAAGAAAAAAAAAAGCCAGAGGGAAGATGTGTCTTTTATATGTCAGTACAAGGATGTGACTCGTGTTTACAAGAGTGAATATGCCTGATAGAGAGGGGAGAATTTACATAACGTTGAAATCATCATTTCCAAAAAAAGCTTGTCCTTATTCATGAAGCTTTATAACTGTGCCAAGACTCCTTGTGGTAACAGTGCTTATAAATATAAACAAAAAACAAACAAATAAATAAATATTCTACAGTATAAGTAGTAAAACTTAATTGCACAAGATAAAATAAAAGATGAAGTGAGACTACAGATACAATGGAGATACAATGTAGACAAATGTAGAATAAAATGAAATATATAAAAATAGAATAAAATGATAAAGAAAATAATATAAAAAATGACATCATGCGTGGGGGCCACGGTGGCTTAGTGGTTAGCACATTTGCTTCATACCCCTGGGGTTGGGGGTTCAAATCCCCCTTCTTCCTTGTGTGCCCTGGCTTCTTCCTCCTCCAGTCCAAAGACATGCATTGTAGGCTGATTGGCATCTCTAAATTGTCCTTAGTGTGGCCTGCGATGGGTTGGCAACCTGTCCAAGGTGTCGTTCCTCCCCCACCCTGTGTCCCAAGTTCCCTGGGATAGGCTCCAGGCTACCCTGTGTAGGATAAGCAGTACAGAAAATAGATGGATGGCTAGACTTCAAATATATCATCATTTTTACTAATAATAATAATGTTATTAACTCTCTCTCTCTCTCTCTCTCTATATATATATATATATATATATATATATATATATATATACATATGAGTGTGTGTGTAACAGAAATAAAATACTCTGTGTTGTGCTGTTATAGGAAAATAAAGAGCAGTGTGGTGTGGTGTGGTGAAGTGGAGTTACTGTTACCACTCCAAAGTGGTATTATTTTCCTATAACAGCACGTCCCTATTCTTCATATACCACAGCAACTTCCAAACGATTACAATTTTTATCTATTAAAGAATAACAAATCATTTATATAATTTTAAGAGTTACATTTAATATTGTGGAATGTCCATGAAACACGTTAGTTCCTGTTCTCACTTACGTTATGGCAGCTATAAACAGTCATTCCCTCACCAACCTCTTTTTTTCTCTCTCTTGAAGTTAATAAGACAAAAAAAGATTTTTAAGATCCGTTCATGTGGAGCGTCTGACGTACAAGTAATTGGACTGTTACTATAGAAACCATAATATATTATAATGAGTGCGTTAATATAAACTTGTGATTTGCAGCTGCACTACTGTCAGAGCTGCTGTTATAGAAACTTAATCAACACCAGTAAGAATGACCAGAATACAGAATTCAACAGCACTGTGGTTAAAAAGTACTTCATACAACAGTGAGTTAAACTCTGCAATCTGATTGGTTCCAAGAGTGCCTATATTTCCTATACCTGCACTGGGATGTTTCGCTGTGTGTATCACTCCACTCATCTGTGTTCTCCACATAAAATTCCACTTCCTGGTTCGAAAACTTTTAGAGTAGAGTTAGCAACATCATCAGCGGACAAGATTTTTCAGAAATGTAACTATTGGCTTAAAACATGAAAGCTCGCCAGGTGAAGATGAAAAGGTAGAAGGGACGCCATATTTCACCGGTTGCACCTTTAACAGGAATTTACAGATCAATGTGAGGTAGCTAGCCAGCTAACCAACCTGCTATAAAGTGAGTGTAGCTTCTTCGGGATCTATTTCTGCTAGCGGAGTAAAAATAAACAGAACATTTGGCCATACTGTGTCCAAAATGTCAGTTACTCGATATTAATTTCTTGTTGTATAAAAGCAATATCACACTCACAATCACATAGTTATACTGAATATCGGCCAATATTCAGTTTAACCATATTCTTGCTCATGCGATATTGCTTAAATATATATTATAACTGTTTTGAATTGTTAGCCAGCAAAATTAGAAAAGATTAAAAAGTATTCAAAAAGATAACATTTATTATTTATTATTTATTATTATAATAAAAACAGTAGCCGATGCAGTAAATGGTTCCATTCAATAATGTTGTGAATTCATGGTTTGTAGGAAACATCTGGATCAAGGGGCAAAATAGGTTATTATAAATACTTTTTTTTACAGTTGACCCTGAAAGAAGATTTGTAAGTAAAGTGAATATATAACGAAAATATAATCATGTATAATCTCAGTCATCCTCTCTCTACTAAACATGATACCTATATTAACCATGCAAATGAAGCTTCCAGATTATCCGCCTGGACAAAGTATGTTTTTTCACCTGTCTACAATAACAACATTGTTAATCTGTTGCATAGCAACAAGACACTTGGTGGTGGTAGTACTATGTAGTGGAAGAAGTGGTTGATATTAACAAGGAGATATTTGAAGGAATGTTTGGTATTTCTTTGCGTTACCATTTTAGGTACTTTTGTATTAAAGCAGCTGAACACTTGGGATTGTGTGTTTTAACATCACGACTTTGACGATGATGACGATGACTTGCTTTCGGCTCGTGTCTGCGATGGAATCAAAGCCGTGATTGTATCTCGTGTTCTCTTTCTTAATTAGCTTAAATCTTTGTTATAAAATTCTTAAATTAGATAAATTTAGCAGAACTAAATAAATTCTAAGCACATGAACTTTACAGGAAGTGTCTACGTTTTGCCGTGTTAAGCATACAGTATGTTGTGGAGAAAATATTTGCCCGATGAAGCACAAATACAGAATGAATTCGAACCCTGGCCATAAGCAGATTAGGAGCATTTATAATGGTTTGTTATCATAATAAATTCCGTGCTGCATATTTGCTGCATGTGTCGTCCACTTTTACACACAGACACACATGCACACACACACACACACACACACACACACATACTCCACGATCACGGTTCATTCTGCTGATTTGGGCTGCGGCTGCTGCGGTGCTATCACACACACACCATCACAAACACTAACATGCTTAGGATAAGCTCGGGCTGCGATGTTTATGAGCTGGAAGTGTGTGTGTGTGTGTGTGTGTGGGGTGAAAACCCTCGGCTCAGCACAAACAGGGCGATTCTGGCGCTAAAAATTAGTGAGTGTGTGGATTTGTGCTAAAGAAGGAAGAATGAAAAAAGTGAAAAATTTCATGCATGTATATTTCCTGAGAGTCAACGATTTCCCCTAATCAGGAAGCTTTTAAAGTTTTTTTTTAATCTGAAAGCTGAAAGAGTAAGAAACAAGGATATACGGAAATAAAGAATAAACCATTGTGTATGCTACTGTTATAGTAAAATAATCAACAACAGGGTGGCGTGATGAAGTGGAGCTAATGTTACCACCCCTAAAGTTGATTATTTTCCTATAACAGCACGTTGCCACGTGTTTTATTCCTCTTATACCATAGAAATATGAAAACTATTAAAAAATTTTATTTATTAAAGAACAAAACATTGTATTTGGTATCTGTTTAAAGTTACATTTAATGTTGTGGAATGTCTGTGAAACAAGCTTGTACCTGTTCTCAGTTACATTATAGGTCACCAGCCTCTTCTTTTCTCTTATTTAACAAATAAAAATATATAATCATTGATATGGTGAAGCTTTCTGCGCTTTTGAACACGTAGAGGAAGAGCTGTAACTTCTCTGTAACATGACAAACTGCATTTTCTTTCTATCTTATTAGCTTCAAGAGAGAGAAAAGAGAGATGCTGATGAGGGAACGACTGTTTATAGCTGCTATAATGTAAGTGAGAAAAGTTGTTTCACTGTAAATGGACAAAAACGTAAGCTGTTTTGTGTTTAGTAAATTAAAAATTGTAATCGTTGACAAATCGCTGTGGTATAAGGCAAGTAAATCACTTCAGGAGGTGCTGTTATAGAAACCTGTTACATAAATGTGATATAAATATGGCATAAAAGCAGTCTGTCATGTTTTATTCCTTATCCACTTTAGTTGACAGAGAAAACGTTCATTTGTTTGAGACACTGGGATTTATTACAGTTTTAATATCTGATATCTAGCGTGAGACGGTAGATATTTGAATACAGATGTACAGTATGTGAGGTACAAACTTGAGAAATTTCAGCAATAATTTTATTGATGTTTATAAAAGCCCACACATAGCTACATAACGGCTAACTTTACCCTCTCAGTCACCACTTTCCATTTTTTTCCACTTTCTATGATAATTTAGCACTTGTAACTAAAAATGGCGTTAATATAAACTTTAATAATATTTTTAGAATGATATATTTGGACTTGTGAGTCAAGAGTGAGAAAGAAAGAGAGAGATGAGAACTGTCTCATCTCATTAAAGGAGACAGAATTGTGGAATTAGGTCGAATCTAATTACAAGCCATACTAATGTAAAAACACGCCTGTTTTTTTTTTTTTAACCCCTCATTCATTTTGACTAGTAATTAGTTTTGGCCTCTAAAAAATGCCACCCTTTAATCATGGCAAGGCAGATGTGATTTTGCGGTGCAATTTAATCTTGCTTTAATGAAGAACTAATGGACGCATTGCAAATTACGTTTTTTCCCCCCTCATCTCTCGTGTAGTAAGAAGAGGATAAAAAAAATCTATTTCCTGCTTTTGAAAAGATCAAGAGTATCTTTGATAATAGGCCGAGCGGGCCGGTGTGGAGCCAGCGCGCTCTTTTAGTCCACTCACCGCTCAATGGAGAGGAGGCCACAATTAGCAACAAAGCGCAGAAAATGCATGAGAGGAACAGAATCGGGGCGCTTTGGCTCGACCTGCAGCTCCCACAGCCTCGTTAGACGCAGGGCGAAAGTGTCACCGAGGAACAATGGGCTGTGATAAATTAGCCTGCCTACCAAAAAAAAAAAAACATGTACAGCTAATTTTCAATTATACCTATAAATGCATCGTCAGATTGAAGAGGAATTGGATACGCATGGAGAGCAAACTAATAGATCTACAGCTCCAGCTCGTCTCTCTCTCTCTCTCTCTCTCTCTCTCTCTCTCTTTTTCTCCCTCAACACAAAACAAACTCATTTGCCATTTAAAGGACGTGAGATCCATTTTTAGATCACCCGATCACCCCGAAGGCCTCAGCTGTGTTGGATATTTTAATTAATATTTACTGTGAAACTAGCCTGTGATAAGCCTGTATATCCTAAAAATCAGTTTAAGGATGGGGTTCAAAATATTATTAAAAAATCTATTACTGACCCATTTTACACCTGCCGCTTGGATTCAGGTCGTTAGCACTGTTACATTCAGGTCTATTATCTATTATATTCTGTAATGTATTCTATAAAATGTAGAGTTGGCGCAGTAAACACTACTAGTTTTGCTGACCGTGTCTTAAAATAAATTCAGAGTGAATAAAAAATAATTAAGTTTATTAAAAGTTCACATTATATCAAGCTTTTTAATTGATTCATGCATTTCTTTTTTAGTTTCCTTTTTGTATTATGAGATTTAGAAAATAAGAGTCATTATAAAACAAATAGTATTTACAGTATATG